ATACTTAAGAGCTAATTATTCTTTGATTATTTGCTGCTTGAAACAGGAAAAAACAAGTTGAAGCTTGTCTGGTCGATATGTGCAGAGCGATTTCGAGTCTCTTAGTCACAGAATGAACGATATATCCTTTTATTTCATTTAATTGATGGCAGTATTCAGGTGAAGACGAACTAAATGGTGTTGAAGAACATAATGACGATCGCGATGATGAAGATGAGTTTGGAGATGAAGCTTCGCCTACAACCTCCTCTGTATGTTCACCTCCAAAATATCTTTTTTACAATTTTTTGACATCTCGTGACAGGTCGACGGAGAAAGTGATGAAGGCGAAAGCGGCAGCGAAGAGGACGTTGAGGAACAGCACGAAGAGCAAGCTGATGGCGATGCGAAGGCAGTGACAATGCAGGATCTGATGAAGAAAGTCGATCAAGACAAGCAAAAGCGGAAAGGTTGGACAGGAATATGCCTCCTCTTGATTGATTTGAGTCCTTGTCTAAGTTGATTTTTACAGGAGAGTCTGTTCGTGCACAATCCGAGATATGGGAGCAGTTACTCTATGTGAAAATTAAGCTGCATGCTGCCCTCACCGCCTTTAATCAGCTGCCACGAGGACAGTTAGCCAAAGATCTTTTGAAGGAAGCAGATGAAGAGACTGCGAATAACTTGAAGCAAGGTTTGTTCCACATCTAGTTGTCCTTTATTTTCATTCTGCTTTTGTTCAAGCTGCATTTTTCAGCTCAAAAGAACGCGTTGAAATTAGTTTCTGGATTACTAGAAGCTGAGAATCTTCTCCTGTCCCTGTCTTCCTTCACACAGGCTATGAATGGAGAAGGAGGTGAGTTTTCACCTTTCAAGTAAAAATCTTACAATATTTTTTATTTATATACATTGAGTACTTCCGCAGGCGCAGCAGATTCTGGTGATGAAGAGATTGAGAGCAGCGAAGATGAGAAAGACGGCGATAGCGCCGCTGAAGCTAGGTTTGGTTACCATGAGAACTTTAAAGTTGTAAGGCATATCGAAATTTTCTTTAAATTTCATGTATTTAGCGAGGAAGACGAAGAGGAAGAAAACGG